GAAGTTGACCCATATGTAAATTTTATCGGTTTGTGCCATGTGCTGATAACTTTCTGCTGTTGGGGTGTGCTGGATTTTGAGTTGAGCTGGTGCTTTGGGCTGATAAGGCCATAATCTGCTTTCTGGAGGATGCTGATATCTGCTCTGTGCTCTTTGGGTGAACTGTCATAAGTTTGCTTCAGAAAGGCTTTTTCCTTGCTGTTTAAAATACAAGCATTCTGTAAGTGTTCTGTATCTTCAAGTGACATAAATCACCACTTTTCCTCCTTAAGAGATTTATTCCCATTTTAATCTTTGATGATAACAGTATACTGCAAACTGCAGAGAGCTTTCAGAACTATCTTTTCTCCAAGTAGAGCTGAACAGTGCAAATCAGTCCTTAAACTTGTTTCTCTTCTGGGCTCTGCATCATAAGCTTACCCTCTGACCTACTGCTTTCATTTCCTGTCCTTTTTCTGAATTTGCCCTCCTCCAGACAGAACTGTGGATTTATTCCTGCTGCAACACTGTCTCTTTCAGCTTTGAAAATCCCTAAGCCATCTTAGTTTTTATGATAGGAAGGGGCATTGCTGAAGTTAGTAAGACTCTTACCCGTGCATTTGACTAGATAGATGCTAGTGCCTATTCCAGTCTGTTTTCCATTGGCCTAGATTTATCCTTTGGGTTGTGAGTGGAGTTTAGGACAGAAGGGACAATACTGAGAACTTAAGTAACTAACTGCATCTGTATTTCTCCAAGGCCATTATGAAATGATGGGTGTCTTTCTTGTCCTTTGGAACCCAATTGGGAGGACGTGGTTATGTTCAGGCAAGGGAATCCAGGTCACAGGATTATTGAAGGGGAACAGAAACTCGTATGGTAACTGCTGGAGAGAGAGAAAAAAAACAACCATACAAAGGAGCCATTATATCCTTACTAATAACTTAGGGAAACCAAAAGAAAATGGAACTTTCATGCATAGAACTAAGTTGATCTGTTCTTTTACAACCTGATGTATCTACCCACACAGACAGGGGGCAGTAGTAGGTGCCTTTGGAGCAGTATGAGAACATGGCAATCAAAGGGAGAATGAGTGAGTGAGTTATTGATTTATTTTTCTGTCTTCATTTAGCAAGTTCTCTGGGTCCCTGTGTTTTGAAATGTAGGAACTTCTTGAGCCAGAGGTGATGTGGTTGTCCTAGAAGTGTATGTGTCATATCTACTTAAACAATGCCTTGAGGTAAAATTCAAGAAAATTATGGATGTTTCTTGGCTCCCAGGCTTGTGGAAAGCATTGTAGCTACCACAGATTTATTTTGAACTCATATTCTGTGCAAAGCAGCCACCTAGTAGAGTGTGCATCTTTTCCTTGCACATGTGCAAGTATATCATCTTTGTATCTTGCTTTTTGTACCATAAGCAGGATTCAAAGCAATATTACAGCAACCTTGTTGATGATTGAAAAATTATTACTTTCTGGAAGCAATATGCAGTCCTCCTTTAACATTGACAGGAGATCTTTATCAATTTAGTTTTTCAATCTCAAGTCTTTGAAAGGTGACCTCAGAAATGGAATGTATAAAGAGCCACCTTCAGTAGCATTAAGTCCTTAATCCTCTGTTGGCCTTATGGAGGGCATTCACCACTCAAAGTGATCATGCTACTTCATTGCTTGATATACTCTATAAATAACCAATTTAGATGTGGCATCCTTTATTTTCTGGTAGGTTGGGATTATCATTTATACTAAGGACCTGATTCGAAGTTTAGGTGCATTGAGGGAACCTTCTTCCAAAGGCTGCAGCTACCTTTGGATCAAATCTCAGGTGTACTTAGGAGATATGACCTCTCTTGTTCAGCTATGCCCTTCTCCTTGGCAATTCTTTGAATGCCCTCCTGCCCAATTCCACTCACATGTCCTTTTTTCTGATCTTAAATTCTTACAATTTAGTCGTTCTATTTTACCGCCTCTCAAAGAATTTTCATAAAACTGTTTTGAAGCAACAGGCTTCAGTTTGTGCAAGGGAAACACCAATTCTTTTGCTTTTCTCACTGTTCTTTCAATCATGGATGTATTAATGGCTTTGCTGTAAGAGAACTAAATACTAATTCTGAATGTATCTTATGCAAGAGTAATTGAAGTGGTTCTTTGTGCTGATCAGCATGGTCTCAATATCTTAAAAACCCCCTTCTCTAATCTTCTTTATGTCAAGGAATGATGAATACCCATTTTTTATTTTTATTTTTATATATATATTTATATTATTATATTTCTATTGCACTTATTATATTCTATATTTATTATAGTTCTATTATTATATTAGTATATTTATAGTTATATTATTATTTTTACTTTTATATTTTTTTATAATTTTTTACTTTTATGATTTTTGGTGTTTTACAAAACAGTTAAGCTGCTGACCAAGATAATCTTTATGTTTCTAAGAAATGCATTATCATTTATTTGTTCAGGTAGTGTTCCATCACTAGCTGCTGGCCTTTTCTTTGGGAGTTTGGCTGGACTGGGTGCTTATCAGGTCTCACAGAATCCAAATAACATTTGGGTTTCTCTGAGTAAGTAATTGAAAATTTTATTTGAAAAGGATTACATTTACCCTGTATATTTAAAATTAGTACCTAAGAGTCTTTGCAGAAGAGTTAAACACAGATAGTGTTACAAATCTAACTTCAGTGCTGTCTAAACTGAACTGGTGGCTGCCAGTATGCATCTGTCTCATACTGATGTATTTGAAGGATCACAGTGCAAGAAAAGTGCTAATAAATGGATTTCTGAACTATTTTTGCCTGGAGCCTTGTACTTTGAGCATCCTGCAGCAGGCTGTAACATTTTGGGAAGTAGGATTCCCGTTCAGACTGACCATACCCCTAGCTGACTATTTTATTATCACGGAAAATGGCAGAGATTGTGATTGGCTTATTTTTATAAATGACAAATTTGTGAAATTACAAAAGTGTTGATGCCTGGGGAGATTTTAGAGAGAATCAAGCTTCAGTAATGCTGTTTCTTCCTTCTCAGAATTGGAGCTTTTCTTTCCTCTGATTTGAGAAGGTAACTGTGGAGAGTTACTGCTTAGTCAGTGTTTAAAGAGTCACCACTGACTACAGCATTTTTCCTCTGAAGCAGTGACAGAGCATCTGGCTCTTTGACATGTGAAAGTCACAAGTCAAAGGGGAATGCCCAGCATTTCTCTCCACTTCACCTTTGTTTACAGGCAATCCACTTCCACTGGCCAGGCCAAAAGCTGTGCATGGTCAAGCCTTAATAACATAATAAACTGCGGATACAGCAAGCTGAAGAAGTGTGAGGTTAAGTGTTTTCCCAAATGTGTGAGACAGATACATTTCTGTAGCTCAGCAGCATATGGAGTCTTTTCCTCTTCATGCCTCAAAGTTTTTGAAGAAGATGTGTTCTGCTGCTGTTTGAAACAAAATTTCATTTTGAGATGTGCATATTTTGAAGACAGGCTACTAATCAGAGCTTGAAGCATTTTAATACTGAAATATTTTTGTTTTATTGTGTGCTGGACTATGGTCCCAGTCTCTTACATATCCCATTATGTGAGATTAGGAAGTGTTCAGTGACAATATTTTGTTTGGTGTGAGGGAGGAAAGATGTCATGGCTAGGACTGAAGATGAACTGGATCCTGCAGGACCAGTCATCACACAGAAGCAACAGTAGGGGATAAAAGAGTTGTTGGAACAACGTGTGTGCAGCTGTTACCCCTGGGTAGCAGATGCATACTAAGGATAGGGATTCCATCAGTGTATGTTTTCCTTACAGCTTTTTAGCATTCAGTCTTTATTTGAGATACCATGTTCAGGGACTGTCCTTTCTATCTTACTAAGTCAGTGAAAGTACCTGGCTCCTGTCTAGTGTCCAGTGGTCAGGGACAATTAATTCTCACCTTGGTAATGCTTAGCACACTTCCCTTTGGAAGTCTTTAGAAAACAAGTTAGTTAATTCTCAGAACATTACTACAAATTAAACATGATGCTACATGTTAGACATGATTACTACAAGTTAGACAAATGCTCTCTCCCTTTTTTGAGAAGTGAGGGAATTATGTGCACAAGTTTATTGATTTGCCTGTGTGTGGAAGGAGTGAGTTCTAGAGCAGTGTATCATAAATTATTTCCAGTCTCAAAAAGAGCACATTTTGAAAAACAAATTTGAGAAGTATGTGCAGAATGATATAGAGTGCACTGTCTGCTTGAACTTGATATAGAATACTTACTCTTTACAAACTGAGGCATTTTAAAATTTACACAATTTATTGACTCTTATTGTCCATTAAGTGAAGTAACCCTGTTTCTCTTTTTACTTGATGCTGCTACTTCTCCCTGTTCTGTTAGTATTTAATTATGTTTCTCCCACACATGCATCTCTGCTGACTGGACTATACAATCTCTCATTTAAGTTACATCTGGAGCACTGACTGCTGTCATGGGAACAAGATTTTACCACTCCAGAAAATTCATGCCTGCAGGGCTAATTGCTGGTGTCAGGTACAATACTTTTTTTTTAACCTCCTGTGTGTGATTTCTTATTCACTTAATTAAACTCAGATGGAATGAAGATATTTTGTGTATTATTTTTGTTCCCATGCATCACTTGGATGAAGTATCTGAAAATGAATTGACAAATTATTGTTACTATTGTTAAAGTATATGTTTTTTCCCCTTATACAGTTTGCTAATGGTTGGAAGATTAGCACTGAAGATGTTGGAAAAGCCCCAGGAAAAGTAACTGTTAATTTTACATCTTAGTATTTGGAAAAGGAGATCTGATCATGAAATTGCATGAATGCAGAACTGAGAAGATGGAAAAATTTTCTGCATCAAGACATTTTTTAATTTTTTTTAATAAGGGGGAGTACAATGATGGGACAGATAGTGTATATACAAGGTAGAGCTGTTTGTGTATAGAGAGAAATGGGTCCTGGGTTTGATTTTTCTGGCATGTTTCAATGTATTTTAACACTTACATGTTTTAATATTCCAAAATATACTTCTGGCATGTATGAAGCAGAGAGAAAATATCCTGTAATTAAGAAAATATCCACAAAGAGGCACTAGGACTAACTGGCTAAATACAATAGTGTGTCTCAAACTTTTACACTGAGTATTATGGTGTGCTTTACCTGTTGCATTCTGAATTGATATACCATGTCTTTATAATGTCCAACAGATCTTGTCTTTTTATTGTGAAATGATGCTAAAATGATGCTTTTCTATAAGTAAAATTTGTTACAAACCTTTATTTGGCCTTTTTTTTTGGTACAATTTCTGTGTTTGGGGACAGGGCTATTTTTTTCACCTTGTTTTCTCAGTGGAAGTCCTTGCAGTGGACTGTTAGTATCCAAGTGCTGTCTTTCAGTGATATTTAAAAATCACTTTATAAATGGAGGGATAGAAGATTAAAATATGGGCCTTCATTAACATTTCATTTTAAAGGTTGTTTGAAAGGAACTTACCCTGAGGATTAACTAAGTGAGATTTGTGCTAGGCTAAATGAGCAGTTGAATGTGATCTAGACTGTATAACTGGAGTAAAATACCCTAACACTATGTAATTCTGATCTTACAGGCTTATTTGACAATAGAATTTGTCAGCACTTTATTTTTAATCTCTTAGGAGAGTGGCTGTGCCTCTTCAAATCTGTCTTTACTAGGAAACCCTGGAGTCAGGAGGGTTCCTTGTTCTGCTGTGATGCCTGGGGACTGAAGTGTGGAAGAGGCATCAGTGGCATCTGGTGCTTTTGTTGTCACTCCATCCTTGATTGCTTCTCCTGCACTGAGTCTTGCAGTTCTGTTAGTGCAGGCACAGCTCACATGGGCTCAGCACTGTGATGGAAGAAATGTGTGAAAGAAAGTCCTTTATCAGCTTATTCTTTAGTGATACATAATTATTGATAAATTAGGATTCTTACCAAGTGTAACTCTATTTTAAAGTGATACCTTATGTAGTGACTATTTAGTATTTTACTTTGGGACCTTTGTACCACTGATTATATCAGAACCATGTCAATTGCTTAACATGAAAATGGCAAAGCAGGTTTAAATTAGCTTACATCTTACACACTTGCAGTGTTTAAAGGAATTTGTAAAAATTGCCTCAAACTGCATAAAGCAGGTACCAAACTACATAATTTCTCCATTTTGTTGGTCACTTCAGTGCTTGTATTTCCTTTTCTGAAAATGGCATTTAGTAGTATTGAGTCAGAGTGATATTTCTACTGTTGTGAGTCAATGGTTACCCACATGGTAGTAACAGAAAGCTATTGTAGTAGAAAGTAGTAATTACAAGCAGATCTGTAGATGTTGGGCCAGTTGTGCTGTGTGTTATCAGTTCTCTTAGCAAAAGTTATAAAATTAATTCCAAGTTTTTGAATGTATTTCATATTGTAATCTCTCTTGTTTCCAGGCACTTAATCTCTAAATAACCTGATCTGTACAGGATGAATCTCCAGGGAGCAACACTGAAAACATATTAAAGCATGTCTGAAATTCTAGTCTCAGTTAAATCACAGTCTCTTTTGACTATACTTTAAGCAAAATCTAACAGAAGTTTTGTGATTACTTTTTTATGTATTTAAATCACCCCATGTAATTGAATAGAAAATTCTGTCATTAATACAGAATTTTCTATGAGCCATTCAAGAATTAAAGACATAAATATCCATTCTCCAGACTGCCCCTGCTTTTAGTCTGATTGTTAGCTACTTCTAAAAGATTTCTTTCTTGGTTCTTTTTTCCACTAAGACTGGTCTCCATGAAAAATGAGAAAATTACTTTGGCATTAAATCCACTGTGGCTATGCCATGGCTTGAATGGAGCTTCATGTTATGAGTCAGCTTGTACATGGATTTTGGAAAGAATGATTTAGTTATTTTTGAGAAATGAACTGCTAAAATAACACTTAAATTAAGGCTGCTTGTTCAAAGCACACTCTGAAAATAAAAATATTAGTTTAATATTTTTTACAGTTTCAGCTGTCAGCACAAGCTGAAATGAATACTGATTTTTTTAAAAAGGTCCAGGAACAGGAAACTAGTTTTACTATACACATACTGAGTCACCAGGACTCAACAACTCAGAGTTTAATCACACACCCAGAACATTACAGAATTGAGAGAAGAAAAGCATTTGAGTTGTCAAATCCTCGTTTCCTAGAGTGAGGGCCCTGGTCCTCCATTCCACATCTACTTGCCTGATAGAAACTGGGTGGCAAGAGGAGATGTCAGGTATTTTACCCCTCTCTTGAGTGGCTCACTCAGGACCAGAGGAGGGAATTTTCTTATCACTTTGGTAGATAAGTGATCTCCTGAAAGTAGGAGTCTGCCCTAAATTTTGTAATTTTTGTTTAAGCCTGTCTTTATAATAGCAGTTGCTTACCTTAAGTCCAGGAAAGTGAGAGATGTTGGGCTCCCTTCAGCTCCTGCTCTGGATGGGTTCAAGTTCCCTTCCCAAGGAAGGGCTCCTTGCCTCAGACCATGGGATATCCTGCAGGGAGAATGTTGACAGGGGAAGTCACACCACAGCTGAGAACAGCTGGCAAAGTTCCTGGGATCTGTGGGAAAAGGACCAACAATTTTTTAAGTCTTCTTTTAAAGTTAGACAGTAACTGGCAAAAATGCAGAAACCTCCTGAAGCTGAGCAATGCAACTCAGATTCCTCTGCCCAGAGTGGACAACCTATATTTCACCTATATATTTACTTCTGATTAACTCCAGGGTCTCTAATTCAGGATCTTCTCTCTGGTGCCCCAATTGCTGACACTGAGGCAGCATCACATACATACAGGTTTGGAATGTTACAAAGCACCCAATTAATGAAAATGTGAGCAAATATTTTTGGGGGTGGGTCAAAATATTGAACAAATGAGTGCCTCAGTTATGGCTTAGTCTTTACAGGTACAACACTGAGACCCCTAGTTCAGCAGTAATATACTCAGGCTCAATTGTACCACTGAGTTGAGGTTACTCACACACTGATGGATATCACAACCTAAGCTGTTCTTCCAATTGATGTGATATTTGCAGGTATCAAAGATCTCTTTAATTTAGTACAAGTGTGTGGAATAGTGTAAGAATTCAGGCAATGTTACACCTAGTAGCATGGGCAACTGTCTTTCACAAGCCAGCAAAGGAGAATGAGAGGTGGATGAAAGATGTTTCAAGTGGAATGGTTTAGAAGGGAAGTAGTCATGTGCTGTCCTATGTTGCCTTTTGATACAAGGCAGGCGGCCTGGTTTCAGGAAACAGCACGGTGACCCATTTCTCCAGGGTCGCTCGGGCCTAAGAAACACGCGGACACTAATATGGTGGAGGATCAAAGGCTTTTATTCTCTCTTCCCGTGGGGTTTTATAGTCTAGGGGGCTTCTACGTCAGGTGGGGGTCTGTCTTTACCATCTATGGTTAGTAGGGGATGGAAAGTTACCTGGGCAAGTGGAAAGTTACTGGAATCCGGTTTAGGGGGCTACATTCCTATGTTAATTTTCTTATCTAAGGGGACAGGGGCCCTGTCTTCTCGTAACATCACGAGATCTTCCGAACGCCAGGCCCTATCTGCTACAGTCCTACTTTATCACTTGTTCTAAGAATATGGCACAAGCCTGTTTTAATGCAAAGCGAGTCCCCTAACTCTTGTTCTGCTGCAGGCTTTGAAAGTGCAATTTGCCATGTCCCAGTTCTGTCAGTCATTGTGCTGGGAGCTGTTGGCGCTCTGTCATCACCAGCTGAGGGTCAGTCTGTGCTGAAACTAATATGGCCTGAAGTATTGCACAATTATCCTTTTGTGGTGTTAAAATTGCTGGCTTCTTGGCATTACAGTCATGCTTTCTGACTGCACAGCTTAATCACCTGGAAAAATGGGAGGGGGAAACAAAGGTCAGGAGAGCCTCCAAGCAGTTATGACACGAGGAGGAAAGTCTTTGTTTCTCCACAATCCCTACAAGTAAGAATGGAAAAAATGTTCCGTCAGTAATAGCACAGAGGCATCTGCCCTCATGTCCTCTCCTGCTTCCTTGAAATGCCATGATGGAACAGATCTAAGTGCTTATGCTTTTATGCAATATCCCCAGCTCAGTCCAGTGCAGAAGTGACTTTGGGTGTTTCCTTTAGTCTTTCTGTGCTTCTCTTCTGAACTCTGAAATAGAGATAATGTTTTCTGTATCCCTTCCCTGGCTGTCTTTTACATTGCTGTTTTATACAGTGTGTGGCATTAAATGTTTCCTGCCTCAGGTGCAAGAATTGGTAAATGGAACTGATACTGTTTCAGCGCTGGTAGTTCATACAGTGGTTTGATACTCTTAGAAAAACCCTAATGAGAAAAAATATGGTACAACTAAAGTCTATTTGCCTTATTTCATCAAATATTAGCATTTGCTAATATATTGCTATTGTATTTTTTTGAGATCTTGTCCTGCAAGCATGGTAACTAAATGGAATTGAACTTTAGTGCTAATATTTAGAATCATAAAATATTCTCAGTTGGAGGATATACTCATGAGGATCATTGAGTACAACTCCTAACTCCACACAGAACAATCTAAAAGTGAAACTATATATCTAAGATAGATATATAGTTAGATATATATATCTATATATATAGCTATATCTATATATATAGCTATATCTATAACTATGTATCTAAGATAGATATATAGTTAGATATATATCTATATCAATATCTTAGATATATATCTATATCTAGCTATCTATATATCATTGTACAAGTGCTTATTGAACAGCAACAGCTTTGGGACCATCATCACTTCCCTGAGATCTTGTTTCAGTGCTAGGCCACCCCATCATTGAAGAACAATCCTCTCCCTCTCCCCTCCCCTCCCCCTCTTTTTTTTTTCTCTCTTTTTCATTTTTCTTTTTCCTTTTTTCTCTTTGTTTTTTCTGCTTTTCCTTTATTCTTCTTTTTCCCCCTCTTTTTTTTCTTTCCCCCCTCCCCCCCCTTTTCTCTTTTTCCCTTTTTTCCTGCCTTTTTTCCTCCCCCCCCTTTTTAAATTTTTTTCCATTTTCTCCTTGGTGCTTGTTTGTTTGTTTGTTTTCCCCGGTTTTATTTCCCCCTGTTTGCTGCCAGGCGGCGGCTGGCTGCGCTGGGAATGCAGAGATTTTGGCTGCCCGCAGAGCCGGGAGAGGGCGGCAGCGCTGCTCCGATGTCAGCCGGGGGAGAAAAACACCCCACTCACCCCGAGACGTGGAGACAAGGATAAATAATAATCAACCTAATTCCAATTTAGGGTTTGCCCACTTTCGCTATCTGACCCGGAACACCAAATGCTGGAACACAAATGCTTGGCTCTCTCAGCTGAATAGGTCCTTAGCTTCTTTATTACCTTTGTGCCGCCGGAGGAATGAAAGGAAATTATGCTGGGGTAAAAGGCTTTTCTCACCAAGCATACTGTGCAATCCAATGGTCGTGCTGCTAAGGAGCTGATAATAATCGCGCGAGGAATGAAAATGAAACCCTTCTGCCACTCTTCTTACATCCCCTGAAGGAAATCACTTATCTGTACTGGAAGATCAGCCCCGTCTTTCTCACCTATTTACAGCAAGAAACAAAATCTGCGGGTTGTCAGCCTGATTCACAAGCAGAAGAGATTTAGCAGGACAGGCTTCCTTCTCTAAGCACTTTTAGAAAACACACAAGCGTTATAGCTTTGTAAGCTGTTGGAATAAATATATATATAATGAGGGATAGGGTGTTAGCTAAGTTTCTTTGGATACGTGCTCTTTCAGCAGCGCTATAACAATAGAAAATGGCTGGGATCAAATCATGTGCTGTTACCTGAAGGCATCTCACCAGTAGGAGAGTTATTGGATGCGCTGAAATTCCTCCTGACCCCTCTGTTCCTCAATAAACCTGCACACAACTTCCTCTGGGGATGGGCCAAGTATTACTCCATTAGTATGCAACACCACAGTCAGCAGGGCAGGAAAATACACACCAGGAGGAGAGAAAAGGGATGAAAAGCAGCAGGAGCAAAGTAAACACTTTTAAATTCTGGACAGAAACTTCCCTCCACTGAGATTCCTGCAGGTCTGTGGTGTCATGACAAGATGTAAAATATTCTGAGGTGAGAGGTCCATTTACTCAGGTTCTGTTTCTGTTTAAAAAATGAAGCCTAGACTGGGAGGCAGGGAAAAATTTATATGATGGGACTAGGAATCCAAAAATTGTGACAACGGATGCAGAGCAACAATCCTAAAATCTTCTGAAAGTATTTAAATCCATAAAACTGTTGTGAAAATTATCATTCTGGTTCTCTGTGTGGCTACATATCCCTGGTATTTAGCAGTGTGCTAGATGCTCCAATCTGCATTGTTTGTCCTATATACAGCAATATCTTCAGCTCCCAGACACTACCTCACCTGGCAACCCTGCAGCATTTACATCAGCTTGGGGCCTGTCGCCAGACTTTCTCCTTCATGTGCCACTACTGTCTCATCCCTGCCAAAAAACCAGGACACCGTGTTCAACTTACACCTATAAATATCATCTATATGAATTTATTTTTATATAAATTCATTTATTTATGTGAAGGACAGGAGGTTGTTTAGCATCCAGTTTTTTGGGCAGCACGGAGTCACTGATCAACACAGACCCAACTTCAGCCACATCCTCCTTATGGCCAGGAGGGCAATTAACACACACACTCATGTTTCTGCACAGCAACAGAGAGTACCATGATTGCACAGGAGTTTTATTTACTCTTTTTAAAGCATTTTGTTTGCTTATCTATGGTTTTGCTTTTTACTAGGGATAAATACCAAATAACAGTGATAAAACAGTGATTTTCTTCTGTATATCCTCTTCTCAATCTGTCAAGCCAGCAAATATATCCAGTATTAGAAGTCATAGTGACTTTCTGAGACAGAGGTGGCAGCAGCCTGCAATTATTCCTGTTCCTCTTAGCTGTCAACCATCAGACTACCAGCTTCTTTAGGGAATAGTGTGCTGCATGGAGGCAGAAAAGATCCACAGATTTTCTCATTATATATTTGATTTTCAGAATATATCCCACGGAGTGCCCTCTCAGGGCATCTCGGTCCTCATAGATCAGGACTTTACTCAAGACTATTCCTTTCAGATGAGTGTTAACTTCATGCTGTCACCTATAGACACTCTGTCTGCTTTAGTCAGGGCTCTCCATAACAATGCATGAAAAGATGAGCTAAAAGATGATGGTAAACAGCATTCAAATCCTCCCCTAACAACCACAAACAAGGTGTGGTGCATATGCTAAAAATGCAGCAGCAGGAAAGAGGAAAGTTAACTTTTTAAAAAACCGTGTTAAGTGACACCTAATTAGTGCTAATCCAATTTTCTCTTTTTTTTTTTTTTTTCCCCAGGAGCAGTGAGGGTTTTGGGGAGGAAGGGTAAGAGGGGTCAGCCTACTGCTAATTGCTTCTCCTTTAGCTGGGGTCACTGCAGTTGACCTCATTCAAATCTGTGCTGGGTTGACCCTGGCTGGATGTCAGATGCCCACTGAAGCCACTCTTATCACTCCTTCCTCAGCTGCACAGGGGAGAGAAAATATAATGAAGGGATTTAAGGGCAAGGAGAGATCACTCACCAATTAACATCATGAGGAGAACAGATTGGACACGGGGAAAATTAATTTGATTTATTACCAGTCAAAACAGAGTAGAACAGTGAGAAGTTGAACTAAATCTTAAAAACACCTTCCAACTTCACTCCTGATTTTCTCCAACTCCTCCCTGCAGTGGCCCAGGTTGATGTGGAGTGGGATTTGAGGTCAGTTCATCACACATTGTCTCGGCTGCTCCCTCTTCCTCAGGAAGAGGACTCCTCACACTCATTCCCTGCTCCAGCGTGGGTTCCCTCCCATGGGAGATGTACCTTATGAATTTCTGCAGAGTCCTTCCCACGGGCTGTAGCTCTTCATGAACTCCTCCAGCAGGGGTTCCTTCCACAGGGTGCAGTCCTTTAGGAACAGACTGCTCCAGCGAGGATCCTCCATGGGGTCACAGGTCCTGCCAGCAAACCTGCTCCAGGGTGAGCTTCTCTCTCCACAGGTCCCTAGGTCTTGACAGGAACCTGCTCAGCCACGGACTTCCCAAAGGGTCACAGGCCTCTTCAGGCACATCCACCTGGTCTTTCATGGGCTGGAGGTGGATCTCTGTTTCACTGTGGAGCTGTATGGGCTGCTGGGGGACAGCTGCTTCACCATGGTCTGCAGGGAAATCTCGGCTCCAGCACCTGGAGCACCTCCCTCATCTCCTTCTTCACTGACCTGGCTGTCTGCAGGGCTGTTTCTCTCACATGTTCTCACTCCTCTCTCCAGCTGCAGTTGCTCTTGTGCAGTAACTTATTTCCCCTTCTTATGTGCATTAGCCAGAGGTGCTACTGCTGTCTCTGATGGGCTTGACCTGACAGTGTAGCAAACAGGGCATTGTTCTTTTACCCCATTCCAGGCAGACTATCCTGCTATGTGTTCTACCCAATCTTTTGTTTGTTTCCTCAACTGTTTCCCTGCTCATGCATGTCCTGGCAATGCATGTGAGCAGAAGATATATTTAAGATGAGATTTTCCTTTATACTTCTGAAAGACAATATCTAGTGATTGTATCAATAAGTGAAATAATTGCTTCCTGTCTGAAGTGAATCTTTATAAATGATTAAATGCTCTAGAAATATGACTTCAGATAGAAATCCTGACCCTTCATTATTCCTCACCTCAAAAGTCTTTCTCATATAAGCCTACAACAAAGTGCACAAATGCCAGCAATCTGTCTCTGGTAATAAATGAAATTCAGGTGAAAAATCAAATATTATTTATTTCTTCAGAATCATAAAATGATATGGTGGGTGCAGCATGGTAGAGCCACTGTAATACACTATAAGCTTAAAACAACAGATGATATGGTAAGAACAGTAAAGATTACTTTATTTGGGTTATGGATTCAATGTCACCCAAATACCAGTAGGCTTGCTTTTGCCATCTCTACTGGTTTTGTATGGCTTGGATTTGGAAGCAGGGGGGTCTACAGGGGTGGCTTCTGTGAGAAGCTGCTAGAAGCTTCCATAATGTCCAGGAGAACCAATCTCTGGTAGCTCTGAAGATGGATGTGCTGCTGGCCAAGGCTGGGCCAATTAGGATGGGTGATAATGCATCTGTGATAACACATTTAAGAAGAAATGAAAACAAATGTGGTGCAGTTGTAATTTCAACCAGAGAAGAGCAGAGTGAGAACATGTGAGAAGAAAAACTCTGCAGACACCAAGGTCCATGGAGGAGGAGGGCAGGAGGTGCTCCAGGTGCCAGAGCTGAGATTCCTCTGCAGGCTGTGGTAAGACCATGGTGAAGCAGCTGTGCCCCTGCAGCCCATGGGGAACCAACAGGGGATGCAGAGATCCACCCCCAGCCCGTGGGGAGGTGCCCATGCCAGAGCAGGTGGATGCTTGAAAGGAGGTTGTGACCCCATGGAATATCTGTGGAGAGAGGGACCCTGCTCCCAGGCTGGAGCAGCCTGTCCTTGGAGGACTGCAATCCATGGAAGAGTGATCCAGGCTGCAGCAGTTTGAGGGGTCTGTTGCCCATGGGATGGAGTTACATTGCACAAGTTCACAGGGAACTGCTGCCTGTGAGCTGGACTCACTTTGGAGAAGTTCATGGGCAACTGTCTCCTGTGGGAGGGACCCCACAGTGCATAAGGGGAACAACTCCCTGGGCATTGGGAGAAGCCATGGGTGATGAACTGACCCATAACACCCTGTCTCCCTGCACCACTGGGGTAGGAGGTAGAGCTGGAAGGAGAGAATGGTGTGGGGAAGGTGTTTATAAGGGCTTGTTTTCCTTCTCATTATCCTGATCTGATTTTGTTGATAATAAATTCACTTAATATCTCCAAGCTGAGGCTGTTTTGCCTATGATGGTAATTGATGAGAGCTCTCTCCTGTAGTGGGATAGAATATAAGGAAATAAAGATTGTGTAGAAAGTAATCTTACCCCTAAGGAGTTGCAGCTGGCCCAATTATCAAAGATTAGGAACAGGCCTGGCTTTAACAGGCCACAGCTGTAACTCATGAGAAGAAGAGTGCTATAAAAGAGTGGGGTGGCTGGTTGAGAGGGGAATTGGAGTTGGTGGGCTCTTTTGTGAAAAAAAAAAAAAAAAAAGAGTGCTCTGAGGAGCTGACCATGAGAAATGCCAAGAAGGTGTGAAACTTTTGGAATAGGAGACAACAGTGTAGAACCCCTGCAATAAGATGACAACACTCTCCCAGTCCTTATCTCAACTCATGAGCCCTTTATTAAATTTTCTCTTTACTGCAAAGAGGAGTGAGTGAGCACCTTTGGTGGGTGCCTGGCATCTGGCCAGCATCAATCCCCAACACCAGACTTGAGCATATTTTAGATTTCCAGCTGAATTTCCCTATGTACTTCACCAAGACTGTGCCTGACTCCAAATGTTAACCCAGTGTAGCTGGAGTGGAATCTGGCTGGTGGACAGAATGGGCTGGATTTGGAAATAAAGAGGGCAACTCATTTTTTCCCATTCCTGCTACCCTCCCTTAAGTGATTGTTGCCATTGTTTAGGTAGACAGGCCTCTTTCCCAAAAAGCAGCAATGTGATAGCTTGCAGAAAACTCTCAAACTCTCAAAGAGTTTGCTCTCCAAACTGTTGTGTTTCCTTTATTAGTCTCTCATATCTGTAGTTTGGCGCCTTTGGCTGCCCAGACACATAACCAGGACTGTGTGTAAGATTGTGCCCAGCTGAAGCCCTGCCAAGTAAAAGAACAGGTAAAGGCCCCCTCTCATGGAAACGTGGGAGGGGCTGTGTGAGCTTGCACTCAAATGCCTGAGCAGGGCACTGAGTGATGGAGAGGAGGAGCTGCAGAGGCAAAGCTC